CCCCTCTGCTCACAGCCAGCGCCCCTCAGCCCCGCCCCACAGCCCCTCTGCCCACTGCCCCGCCCTGCAGCCCCAGCCCCCCGCCCTACAGCCCCTCAGCCCCGCCCAACAGCCCCTCTGCCCACAGCCAGCGCCCCTCAGCCCCGCCCCACAGCCCCTCTGCTCACAGCCAGCGCCCCTCAGCCCCGCCCCACAGCCCCTCTGCCCACAGCCAGGGCCCCTCAGCCCCCACCTGGGAAGAGCTGGCGAGTGGGGGCGCTGAGCTGGGTGTTGTTCTCCAGGCGGAAGGCAAAGTCGCTCTCCTCGGCCCCGCGCCGCTGGGTGCAGATCCCAGCCGCAATGGAGACGCCGTCCCTGCCGTCCTGCACCCCCAGCGCCCGCAGCACATCCACCGGCTCGGCTATGGAGCAAGGGGGAGGCAGGGTCACAGCCCAGGGTCGCCCCCCACCCCTGGAACACACTCCCCCCCCCCGCACCGGGGTCACCCCACACACTCAGCCGGTCTCGATCTGGACTCATGTCAGGCCCTGCACAATCAGCTCCCAGCATGCCTTGCTCACCCAGCCTGGGGTGAGTCCCCCCGCTCAGTGCCTCAGTTTCCCCCATCCTGGGGGTGCTGCCAAGGCCCTGGGACCAGCCCGGAGCCAGGCAGCCCCGACACCCCGTCCCCACCGTGTGGCCATGATTCCTTCCCTTCATTCCTCCGCCCCACCTGGCATCGGCACTCGGGCCAGGACTCTGCCCTGGGGAACCAGCCGGGCCAGGCAGCCTCCGCTGGGGCCTGTCTCCCCATGGGGCATGGAGCTGCCCTGCCCCCATCTCCCCTGAGGCAGAGTGGGGCAGTGAGGGGGCAAGCAACACCTGGGGATGCCCTCCCTGCCCCCTTCCCAGTCCCACTCCCCCCACAGGATGGAACAGGGGGGCTGGGTACGAGCAGCCACCCCTCCTCCCATTTCCCACAGACTCCTGGGGCAGGGACGGGGACCCCACCCCCAGCAATGGGATCATGCACCCCCTGCAGACCCGGCACCTCGGGGGTTAATCTCAGAGCGGATTTGCATCAGAGACAGAGAGTGGCCCCCTCTGCCCTGGGGCAGCCCCACCCCTCCCCACTCACCTGGTGGAGGGGCCTGTCTGGACAGGCTGGGGGGGGGGAGCCGGGGGAGGGGCGCCTGCTGCGGGGGAGGGGGGGGAGGTCCTCCACTAAGGAACCGGCCTGGTACTGAGCCGGCCGGACAGACGGGGCTGGAACACCTGGCGTGTGGGTCAGAGCCACCCAATGGGGCCGGGGTGGTTCTGTGAGCGAGGGGAGCCAGCGCCCCACATCTGCCCAGCCCGAGGGGCCCGGCTGAGAACCGGCGTCTCCGTCTCCCAGGCTCTCTTGACCCCAGCGCTCAGTTCCCATTTCCTGCCGGGAGCTCCCAGCGGAGCCGCCCTCGGTCTCCAGGCCCCAGCGAGGGGGGCTGCGTCCCCCCCAGGCTTAGACCACGGGCTACAGCGAGCAGGTGGGGCAAGGAGCTGCCCCCCCTCACCTCCTGTTGCCCTGTGAGCCTCCACGTGTCCCCAAGAGACCCCAGCCCAGCCACAGGCCCCCACCACCCGGGACAACAGATCTGGGGGGGGTCAGAGACCCCCCCCCAAGCCAGGGACAGGCGTAGAGCTGGGCTGGCAGGGGCTGCGAGTCGGGAGTGAGGGGCACCGGCAGAGCTGGGAGGGGGGCAGGGCTGGGCTGGCAGGGGCTGCGGGTCGGGAGTGAGGGGCACCGGCAGAGCTGGGAGGGGGGCAGGGCTGGGCTGGCAGGGGCTGCGGGTCGGGACTGGGGGTCAGCGGCAGAGTGTGGGGGGAGCCTGGCCAGGACTTGGGGGACGTGCAAGCCCTGGGAGGGAGCAGGGCTGGTCGCTTGGCCTTGGAGGCTGCGCTGTGGGTGGTCTCTGGCCATGGGTCCAGCCCTGTCCTGCTCCACCCCACGGGCTGCACAAACCCCAGGCCCAGCCCCCTTCAGCCCCGATCCCAGCCCTGTTCGACCCCCCCCCCACGGCACCAGCAGCCCCGGTGCGACCGAACCCAGGAGCAGCTTCACATGACCCTGGTGGCTCCCGCTTGGCGTCAGCCCCTGGCTCTGCCCCCGGGTGCCGCAGGGTCCCTGGCCCGGGCCGGGCAGCACGGAGCATCCAGGGACCCTGGCGGGATGCAGCCAGCCCAGATCCCGCCCTGCGCCCGTCCCCTCCCGCCCCGTAGCCACGGGGGATCGTTTCTCTGGCTCACGGGGGCCCTGGCCCGCTGGCACCGCCGGGGTTAACCACGCAGCCCGGCACCGGCTCGGCCGGCCCAGCTAGATTCCCCAGCCACGGCCCGGGGCAGTGCCGGGTGCTTGCCAGACAGCTGGACCCCCGGGGCGCGGCACCAGGGCAGCAACAAGCCCAGCCCCCGCCTGGCACAGACCTGCACTGCCGGGACACGGCCCCGTCTGGCCCCGTGTGTATCACACCTGGGAGTGGGACAGAGCCCCGGCCCCCGGCCTCACAGCGAGAATAACGGAGCCAGAAATGGAGCCTTGTCCCTGGGGATGGGCGGACGGACAGAGGGGGACTCCCAGGCCAGCCTTGGGGCGACCCTGCTCCCCATGGGCCATCCCAGCTCAGATCCCCCTGCTGCAGGGGCTGCCCTGGGGTCCTGGCTCCAGCTGTCTCAGCCGTGGGGCCCAGCCACGCCCCAGGTGCCAGCTGTGCACATCTGGGCGTGTGTCACCCTGTCAGGGGCCCCATTCCCCCCGGGGAGGCGTCAGGGAGAGAATCCGGGGCAGAGAAGACACCCGCCCCCGTCCCTGCCAGGAGCCCCCCCCTTGCCGGGCAATGCCAATGGCTGAGGCCAGAGGCACTGGCTGCCCCATGGCCGGGCTGGGCAGATACTGCTGAGGCCCCCAGCAAGGGCCTGCCCCTGCCAGCCAGGCCGCCCCACACAGCCTGGGGCCACTCCCTCCCCCAGGTGTGGGGCTGGAGCCCTCCTTGGTGCTCTGTCCATGGTGCTGAAGGTGGCCTGGCAGACAAGGCCCCACCCCCGCAGGGGTGGGGACAGGACCCAGGAGTCCTGGCTCCCAGCCCTCCTCCCGTCCCCGAGCCATGGGGCAGTGGGTAAACGGGCCTTGGCCCATCTCTAGGGCTTCTATGGCTCCAGCACAGGGCCAGGCCCCTCCCCCAGCCCCTTGAGCCCAGGGCCGAGGGCAGAGTCCAGCCCGGCAGGGCCCCCAGCCCGAGCTCCCCGACAGTACCTGCTCCCCACCGGAGCCCGGGAGGTAGCCCAGGGACAAGTGGTGGGGGCAGAGCCCTGGGGGCTGGACCCCTGGGCACAGTCTGGGCTCTGCTGGGGGAGACAGAGGAGTCGGGGCCATGACACTCCCGCTGCCCTGAGGGGCTTGACTGGGGCAAGCTGGGGCTTAAGGGGCTGGGGGCTGGGGAGGGGTCTGGGGGCACAGGGATGGGAGGGGAGCTGGCCCGGGGGGGCAGAGGCTGGGGAGGGGTCTGGGGGCACAGGGATGGGAGGGGGAGCGTGGGCCGAGGGGGCAGAGGCGTGGGGGAGGG